GGGGGGAGTCTGGGCTGGCATCGGCGAGGGGGAGAAGTTGTCGAACTTGACGGGGGGAGCAGGGGCGGACGGCTGTGGGGGGGTAGGGGGAGGCAGTGATCCAGCCTGCAAAGAAACACTTAGCGTTGGAACTCCCACAGACTACTCTTCTGAAGGGAGAGCCATCCTGCAGCAATTGAACATAACAGAGAACTATCTGAACGTTGAGGATTCCCCAGACGGGACACTGACCAACTTTCGGAGCAAGATCACGGCGACAGCGGGACAGAAGAAAAGAAGATGCCTTCTTCCGCTCTTATCGACATGAGGCCTCCATTCCCTTGCTCGCAAAAACAAACACGCAAACCACGAACGTTCGAGCAACCTTCACGATCCCGAGGAGAAAGTGTTGGGGTTAAATTTCGACGTCGAGGGAGTGTTCGCCTCACGCTTGCTTGCTGCGCCATGCGTGCCTGGAGCTTCTTAACCTCGAAGCTGACCCGCTCCTTCAGCTCCTTGCTCTGTTGGACCTTTGCCAGAAGATCCGCCACGCTCATGTTCGCTCGCACAGCGAAGGCGCTCAACACTTGCTGCAAAAGCAGACAGCGACGGGTGATGTCAGCAACGAGGGGTGGATTGCTCTACTGGCTATGTCCTTTTATCGCAATTGACACTCGCAGAGTATCGGAAACTTTATAGCTTGATTGCATCGCAAGAGCAGTTGGCAAGGCTCTCACTGTTCAGCTCCAAAAGTAGAGAAAGAAGTGGTCCCTATTACATCTATGACCGGCCAGCGAATCGAAAGCTGCTCGACTAGTTCCCATCCAACTTCCCAGAACTTTTTACCTCGTAAGAACCAAACGCCCGGACCCCAAAATTCCCAGACTTCCAGAAAAGTTTACATCCAAAGCTTTTCCAATCCCTGAGACCCCAAAGCTCAAAGCTACCACCATCCCAAACCCTGTCTAACAGGAGACTTCCAAACCAATCCACGTTTCCAGGGGCCATTGACTCACGTCCAAGAGCTTTGACTGGGCCGCTTTGGCCGCCGCCACGTTGCCCTGCTGCTGCGGCAGTGGCTGCTGTGCGGCAGCCTGCTGCGCCTGCTTGAGCGCCGCCTGCTGGGCTCGCTGCTGGGCCTGCGCCTGCTGCTGCGCCTGTTGCTTCAGCAGCTGTTCTTGCTGCTGCTGCTGCCGGATGCGCAGAATCTCCTGCTCCTTCTTCTGGCGCTCTTGGAGAGCCGCCGCCTGCGCCTGGACGAGCGCGTCGCGCTCCTGCTGAGCCTGGAAAAAGGGGTTGAGTTTAAGGCTCGAGCTTGGGGAGTCGCGGTTGTAATAGGTTTGAACTTTACGGTGTTGAGCTTTTAAAGGTTGCATTTATAAGGTCTGCGACTTCCGCTTTGGCGTTTTTAACACCTTTTGGCTCGTCAAAATCTGGAGACATTTTGCGTGGCAGTCTGCAGATACAGAACGTCGGAAAATGGATACGAAAGCAACCATAGAGCCAGGTAGTTGTTTGCTGCCCAAAAAGAGGCCTCGTGCTCAGCTCAATCTGAGAAGATGGTGATTTCTTACGCACGTTTGAACCAGCTTAGAGAGGCAAGCCGTAAAAGCTATGAAGAGGATGAAAACTGGCTGCCAGAGGTAGCAGGAGCGGGATGCCAAGCAGAGAGGTGTTTATGGGATTGGGGAGGGGTGTCAAAGCAAGAGAAGGAATCATGCTGTGCCACTTATAAGAGGAAAGATGAAAAGAGAAAGTCCGTTTCAAAGTCTTCTTGTCGGGCAGACTCGAGTAGGCCTGGCTTCAGGGTTGAGGAAGTAGTCAGTTAGGCCGCTAGGAATCCGCTCTGAAACAGAAAGGTGTAGGATATTGCGATTAAAAAATTAAAAAAAGGAAATGAAGGGTAGCTGTTTGCGCTCGACGAATCTTCGAATAGGAATGTCGGGCGACCGGACGCAACGGAGAATCGAGTAAAAGCGATGCTGCCATGCAAGCCCACCTTTTTGGCGGGGTCCACCACCGGCACCCTCGACTTCATCTGCTGCCACGTGTTGAGCAACTGCATCATCTGCTGCTCAAAATGGCCAAGCCCCTTGGGAAAGTTGCGCTGCATCGCAACTGCTTGATTTCGATCCGCTGCCTTGAGCGCCATGATGATCCGGTCGGCAAACGCCTCGAGCTTCTTCAGGCTCCTCTCCTGCTCGACTTTGCCTTGCCCGGTGATTGCCGCCAGTTGGGCGTTTAGCTCCCCACGGACTTTAGTCAGAGGCTCCAGATACTTGGCCTTCAGTTGCTGGAGAAAGGGAGATAAAAGGTTTCAGGTGGGTAGGTAATAAGCAGCTTCTGGACAAGTGCCTGAAAATCAAACGGAGGAGCGACCGATTTGACGAGGCTCTGATGGTTGCTTCAGTCACGACGAGGTACTAGTCGATGAAAAGCAAGACCACCGAGAGGTTAATGCAAGGCCAGGTTGAGTCAAAAAAGCAATACGGGGAAGTTCAATATGAGTGACACCTGGTTCTCGAAAACAAGACATCGCCTTATCTGGATACTTCACTCTTTATATGCAAAGAGATCAGCATGACATGCTAGATCAGTAGGCATAGTATGCAAGTTCCACAGGGGTTGAGTTCCGGTCAGTGAAAGTCATACTGAAGGGGCCATACCTGCAGGCTCTGCCAAAGCTGCTCCACATCCATGCCTGGCGCCGCTGCCGCCGGAACCCCCGGCCTTGCCTGGTTGCCCTGCACCGGCACTTGCCCTCCCTGCTGCATCTGATTCTGCTGCTGCCGCTTCAAATGCTGCAATTGCTGCTGCTGCAAGTACAACTGGTGCTGCTGCTGCTGCTGCTGGGGGGTCAGCATCTGGGGGTTTCCGCCCCCCTGGAGCGCAAACTGCTGCTGGAACTGCTGGTTTGCCTTCTGCTGCCCCCCCTGGGTCGCCCGCTGCATCAGCTCCCGGTTGCGCATCTCCATCCAGGCCTGCGTCTGCTGGGGGGTCATGTTCGCTGGCACTTGCTGGGGGGGGAGCTGCTGCCGTTGGGACTGCTGCCTGTTCACACTCTGTTGGTACGCATTGTAGTTCTCCTGCCGACTCTGCTCGGGGTTCAGACCAAAGCTCCCGGGGGGTGCACCCCCCATGCCGAGCGCAGTGATGGGGACCCCCCCGGCGGGTCCCATCGGGAGCGTGCTTGCCGCTCCCCCCTGGTTTGGCTGCGCGCTGAACCCCCTGGAGTAGCCCACGGGAAGACCAGGGGAGCCGCTGTAAAGAGACGGTGAGCCGCTACGGAGGCCAGGCTGCCCGTTCTGTTGGTTGAGCATCTGCGCGCCCCCCCCAAGCTGGCTCACAGGCATGTGACCGGGGGGAATGTGCAGGGGGGGGTTCTGACCCATCTGTTGCTGGGCCCCCGGCACGCTCATTTTGGCCGAGACCTTGGCCAGCTTGGTGGCAATCTTTTGGAGGTACTTGTCCTGCAAAGAAAGCCGTGTCCTGACTAAGCAACAGGAATGCCTTTCCAAGTGAGCCGCTGGAAGGAGAAGACATCCACCCAAAGAGAGTCAACCCATCGAGAACCCTTGGGAATAGAACTAAGGCCAACTAGGCAACACGAAAAGTGATTCATCCATGAGATAAGGAACAAAGGAGGTTGAATCTACGGAGAAGCTCGCTTGAGTATCCATCTCATTTTGCAGGGGCCGTACGCTTGTAGAAGCCCTCAGAAATGACATCGTTCTGATGCATGGCAGAAGTATCCTTTCTGATTCGACGAGATTGCTGTGCAAAGGAGCAAGAAGCTCTCATCCGCTTTCGGCAGAGCAAACCAAGAATTATCCAATTTGTGTGCTGGTAAGGAGCAGTCAGCTCACAGGGACCTTTTCAAAGAGAATGAGACGGCTGTAATAACGGCATTCCATCTGCTCAAAAAGTTGCGGCCCCATCCGAGGAGGGCTGCACTTGCGGGTGTGGCGATAGGAAAGGGACACTGCCAAGATTTGTCAGCTTTGCACAGCTCAGCCTTCGCAATCAAAAGCTCTGAAACCCAGGCACTGACACCTGCTCAAAAGTCCGCAATAGCTGGGGTCAGACAAACGACCAATGCTTCGAGCTGTATTCTTTGACGCCGATATAGGACAGCAATGTTAGTGTCCTCTGGAATAAATTGCGAGAAACATGCCAAAGCTTCCCGTGCGAGCATGATGGACTAAAACCTTACGGAGCTCTCCGCAGATTGGAACACCGCCTCCTCAAACTTGGTCGCCATCTCTGTAAGGGATTGCATAGAGTCGCTCCCATTGGCAAGGTTGCTCTGCTTCAACACCCCCAATCTGCAGATCAACAAACAAACAATTTTAACACCGCATAGGACATCTTCATTCTGCCAGATAATCCTGATCAAAGAAGGAGCTTGTCAAAGTGTAGCATTCTATTACGTCTACATTACAATCACAGGAACTGCTTTTAGAAGGTCAAGCAGAACAGCTTTTCCAGATTGCTGCAAAGTTCCAATCTCGTTGCTTGTCGATGGAGCTTGGTTTGGACAAAGATGCAAATGATGAAAACGCACACTGTAATTGCCCTGTCCCACAGTGTGTAGCCAAACAATGCAGAAAGTCAACTGTCCTAAACAAAGCTTAACAAAAGAGAGGATGCAGTAAGCCAGACTAGGGACATGCATCCTTACATCTGCAACATCCTGTCCGTATATCCAATAGTGACCGTTATTACGATGTACAAGCTTCAATTTGTAAGGAAGATGGGCAGCAGGCATAGAGACGCTCTACACTTTGAGCCCTCCTCTATGCGAAATCATTGAATGTGGACTTCGATTCCGTCAAAGCTGTGGAGGTGTCGCCCATTTAACACTGGCGCCGCAGCAAAACTGCCGATTGAGTCACATCAAGTTCCATCGCAGTCACATCGTCCAATTTGAGCCCGCGAACAAAAACTGGTAACACACCTCAGGAAAGATACTGCAAAGCATCGCTCTAGGTGCTGTCTTTTGAAAGGTTTCGATCATCAGCTCCTCTCTTGCAATGTGAGGCTTCTTTAGCCTGAACAACCCCTTTCAGTCCGAGATGACAGGGTTCTGACATGCAACATATCCTATCACGCCACAGATTTTCTAAGATCAAAACAAGGCGGCGTCGGACACATGGAGGAGAGGGTTGTCCATTTCAAAGCAGACTTGCCGAACTCAGAGCCTTTGCCTCCACAATCTGCTGACTGCTAGGTCGCCCTGCTTGTCCCTCACTGTCCTGACCTCCAAAAGCAAATAGGAGAATAGCGGTTGATAAACCTTCCACCTCAGACCAAGTGAAAAGGAGAAGGACTTGAAACCAGGTCACTCACATTTTGTGAATGTTGTCCTGCCGCCTGGAGGCATCCCATTGCCGCTGCCAGGACCTGTCCATTGTGCCTCACTCCAAAGCCCCACTTACCCAAGGAACTTTGGTGCCTGCTAGAAGGATGCCATTGCCAACCCAGAAACCTGATAGTGCAACCGGAAGCTTTTTGCGTCCTCAACTAAGAAGCTGACGGAAGTCCAACATCCGCCAGGGGAATGCTCACAGAGATGCAGCACCCGCTTCCTGCTTACTTACACGTGCTCATCTGAAGCATTACTCCAGATTAACCAGTTGGCGACCATTCTACAGGGCTAGGTAATCCATGTCTTCAAAAACCGAAGTATGTAGTCCTTCAAAGGAGGCCGCCAGCATGCGCCATCCCTCACTTTTGCGGGTTGAATTGGACGCCCTTTTCGCGATCTTTTCCAGGCCTCACCCAACTTGAAGTTGAACACCCCGGCCCAATCGTGTGGCGCGAAAGGTAGAGTCTAAATATTTTTAGGGGGGCTTTGGTAAACCAGTCGATGATAGATCAGGCCCATCGGAGGGCTGTATCTGTATGAGACGACAGCCAATCCAGCACAAACGGTGTAGATGAAGCATATCAACATATGGGCAGCATCGACGGTATGTATTCTTTGGATTCTCAGCTTTATACAACTAGGATGGGACGTTTTCTGCATTATACTAACAAGCCAGGGCTCCACATGCAGGTCCTTCATCGGACGGGTTTAAGATGACTTTAAAACTCTTGACGGCTCACAATATGTAGCTTTTAAACATCTATAGATATTCGTGAGTGTTTCAGGACTGCATGCCAGGTCAGATCGAGTCAGGGCTGACACGGGCAGCCAACTTTCGAACCCTGCTGCAGGCTCCGCACAACTTTTGCCATTGGTGGTGGCTTGAAAGAATGCACAGCTCCTCATCAGCAGGACATTTTGCTGGGGAACTTTCTGTAATCTGTCATCTTTGAGGCAGCCATAGGTCCTACTCAAAGCCCTGAGCTTCCTACCCACTTTGTGTCCTCCTTTCAGAGATTGTGCCCTCCTGTTTCGGGTGGTTAGCTGGTGGTGAAAAGTCCGTAAGTCACAATCTGCATCATGCTGAGATTTGGTTTCACCTTTGGGTAAGGCTCTAGCCATGTTGCTTGTTTGATCGGGAGCAGTGGGCTTAAAGGTAGTGCCGTCGACCCATCAGGCTTAGTGCACCGATGTCCTCGTCTTGGGCTCGTTGTGCGAGAAAGCTGCATTGGACCACGCAATCTGGTGACTATGGAGCTTCTAGAAACCCAAGGTGAGGACTTTGTTGCTTCCCATGCGTTTGTCACTACTGAAGAAAGTTAGACCATGTCAAGAGAAGTCAGAGTGTACTCATGGCAAACATCTCATGCTTAAAATGGGAATTTCAGAGCTTGACCCTTCTTCTTTGGTGTTGCTGAGCTTACTGTTCATAAGGATAGAACAGTTGCTGTTTGTCCTTTCAAAGGCTGCAAATTTCATTATTTGAAATGATCACATAAACTTCAGCACTTCATTTGCAGCTTTTAGCTGAACGACTACATTATGCTGACTCCTAGAGTAGGCAGACGTTTTTAAAGATTCAGGAATATCAAGGCTCAGCTCATGTTTGACGTGAGCACACATGTAAGGCGGTCTTGAGGAAAAAAGAGCTGCTAGAGCTTTGCGGCCGCGCAATCAACAAATTCTGCACCTTCCTGTGCAGCCCTTCAGCATCTACAAAATTGAGAATCAAAACGACGGGGAGATGCATCTGCCAACGACAACGTTTAGTAACACCTACCCAGTCCTTAAACACCCAAAACCTGCTCAGACACATCGTATCGTTCCCCTCGCTGCTATTATGGCCGATTCAAACGGCCTCCAACAGAATACATACACACAAACAGCCCCCCACCCTGGCAAAAGTAAGCCCCCCGCCAGTCCCCCATATCCACAGCAGTAACGGAAGAAACCCCACAATGTCAGCAACTGACCAAGCGCCTAACCTAGAAAATGCGCACCCCTTAGTGAGCCATAAGGCGATGCAAGAGGCCATTGCGCACGCCGCTATTCCTCTTCCTCCCAGAAAGAAAAGAGCCCAGGCAGGGGATCCAGCAGACCCGCCGGCGGGATTCATTCTGAACGAGAGAGGGGGGCTCGTAAAAGTAGAAGAGGCAGAGAGAGCCACTATCCTGGTGAGAATGTTGACCTTTGAAAGTCTGGGAAGTTATGATCAATCTGCCGCATAGTCATCGGCATCTTTTGGCAGAACAGGCATCTCATTGTTGCGAACGTGCATACAAGGTCTCCTTTGTTTCACCGCTCCCCTGCTGGCTTCCGGCGGCTTCTCAGAAAAAACAAGACCTTTTGTGTGTTGCACACTGGCAGCTGTATTCACTCACTCTCAGTCTGGGACGCAAGTCCCTGCTTTATCATACTTGGTCCATAAAAACAGTTGACTGTGCGCGTGCAGAGAGATCCTGAGTCGGGCCGCAACTTAGAGTGTATAGTTAGGAGGCGGATCAAGAGTAGGCAGGGCCGGGAGTACCTTCTGCTTTTGGCAATGGACACGTAAGTGTGTCGGCTCTCTTTTATTGCAGAGTCCAACAGAGGGGCTTCTGATCAATCATGTGACTGCACCATCAATTGACTCCAAAAAGGAATTTGCCTTGTTCTTGGAAGGGTCGATCCTGTGTTTGCAGCTGGAGAATTCCAAGTGATGTCCTGCCGGCAGTTCAATTGTCATTTTCCATCCAGATTTGGGAGATGTGCCATTCAAACATTTGGGAGATGTGCCTTTCAAACATTTTGAAGATTGGTTTAAGGTTGGGATGTACTGGTGCAACCTTTTCATTGCCTCGGTCTAGTGTCTCGCTGTCCAAAATTTAGCGCCTGTTACGACATCTTTTTTTATGTTATTTTTCCCTGTGAGTTGCTTTTCCTTCTTCAATCAGAACGAACTATAGCAACCATAGAAGCCATCAATCAGAACGTGGCGCGTTTCGGGAGATGATTCTCTTGGACAGAACGAAGTGGAATCTTCTTTCCTCGCAGGCCCATCGAAGTTTTGTTAGCGGACCACTCTAGTCAGACCTACAAAGAGGTAAGTGCCTCAAATCCACAGAAGCTGCGCTTCACGACGGTCAAGATCGTTAGAAAGAAGCTCACGAGATGCTGATACTTGGACGGAAACGTCAATTCGACAAGAACAGAGCCCCATGTCTGCAATTTCAACCAACATGGCATTGATCCCGAAAGAGAAACAATAGGGTATGCCAAGGCGATGTCGTAATTCTCTATGATAAGAATATACGGAAGGCCCTCACAAGAGATGGGAGGCAGATGTGCAGTCTGGTGTTCTGCTCCGCAGATTAGCGATGAAGACGTTGTCAAACTACTGCCGCATGCCACATTTGCACTAGCGAAGAGAAAGCTGCACCTAGTCCAGAGCGGGTGAGCCAATGGATCGTCAGCACCAAAATCAAGCGTTAGATTTGGAGCCTTCGCTGCTGATTTTTCACTGATCATTGTCAGCCCCGAAAGTTCAAGGGTATCGTTGCTTCGCTCTTATGACATAAGCCGTCTTCCTGGTCAGAAAGTCCAGTCCCTTGACCGATAGGGATGACATACCGTGATGTGGATTCTGCAACTTTGGTTTCTGAATTCAAAGACCACAAAGAACGCTCTTCTGCTTGGGATCGAGTAATCATTATACTGGAATCTTCTGTCCGTCACTTGGAGGACATGGCCAATCCACTGGCCGACTGTTAGGGTGGTCACATTTGGGTCGCGACGACCCTTCGGGACGGAATTTTTTACCCTTGGGGTGGGAATTTCGCCCTTGAAGATTCGGGGTCGCAACTTTTTTAGGGTGGGTTGGCACAACATACCGTCGCGACTCGAAACCGCACAAAGCGGAAAGTTCTAGTCGTTTGGTCGAGGGGCCCCAAATTCAAATATGATCGAAGTGGGTTTCTAAGGTCGGTGCGCTGGTTTCTCTGAGGATACAAATGTGACCACCCTATGTGTCGTGCAGGTTCTGTCTAACCGTAAGAGGAGCTGTATCATACACCGAAGACGACATCGTCGAGCTAGACAAAGGTAGGCTCACGAGTCCTTGCTCCGTAAACAGCTTCGCATACAACTTTTAAAGTTCTTGCCGCCCTCTCACACAGACTTTGCTGTGGACCCGCTTACATGGAAGCATCACATGAATGTGTACTGTCTGCCTCGTTGCTTCGTCGCTGAGTGCATCGAACGATCTCTCCGGCAAAGACAGGCCAATGTAACCATTCCGTTACCTGCCCTTACGCGCATTCACGTACGTCCGAGGGTCGAGGTTGGATGCAACTCAGTGAACTCAGTGAGCCCAAGTATTCGGCTCATTGGCGTTCTGCATGTGGCTTACAGGTTCAGGAAATGGCGAAACTGATGCGGCAGCCGAGGGCGTAGAGATCTGCAGGTTTAGACTGGTGAGGCTGAATGCACTGCCACTACTGGCAGAATCCGCAGTTCTCAGTCTGGGCTCGGAGGTTGCCTTTTTTTGGTCCAATTGAGAGTTTCAGGACAGGAGCGTTTCTTGTCGCCGGCGGACTCCTACTTTGACCATCGTGTGGAGATTGACATTTAGTTGAAGGAAGTGCATTCAAGTGATAAGCCAGTTGACGACTTCTTTCGCAGGGGTACCTTGCAAAGGACGGATGGCAAAGGTCAAAAGGGTCTCTGATTATGCTGCTCACACGCTCAGTGAAATACGTCAAGTTCGTTATTGCGTCGTAGTTGCCAAGGGAAGATATAACCGAGTAGACGCAATTCAGGCTCTTAGGATCATCTTCCTTCGGACTTTGTCAAGACAAGCCTCATTTTCCATTTCCACGCATGTTGGGTGTGGCACGCAAGCTGGTAATCGCAAATTCGGAAAGCTTCCTTCCGCAACTATCAGTAATGGAATCTCTTGCAGGATGCGAAACTGATTGCGATTACAGGATGCAAAGTTGATTCGGATGGGGGAGTCCTTCGAATCGGTTCCGGACGCCTTTAACTCGGAGCAGACCTCGTAATGCTCTACATACGTAGGTCATTTCTGCGTACGTGGGTCATTTATAGAGGAATATTGGGGTCCGGAGCGTGACATGCAGACTCTCGAGCGGAGCGACCAAACGGCAATCGCTTGAACGCACGTGCGCACGTGCCCTGCACCGGTGTTTGCAGAAGCCGAACAGAATAAAAGTAGGGGGATACATCGAAGTTGCGCACAACGAAACGTAGAGGCTTCTGAACCATAGTTTTGGATTTCAACTTCATACCCGAAGACGATCGGTTCAAAGGCCTCGCTGATGACTACTTTGTTGGGCACAGACGTGATGCCGATGTCAGCGAAACGTGCACAACTGCCCTAAATCCCTAAAACCCTAAAATCCTAAAACCCTAATACGCTGCTGGCAGTGAGATACTTATTTGCCCGTACCCTATTGCAGGAAGATAACGAGTATCTGCTGTACACACCATTTGAGCCGGTCCTCTTTGTAGCATATCGGGTGGGTCTCCGCTTCTCGCCCTTCTCTTGTCCACGTGGCTCGATTGCAACGAAATTAGAAGACTCGAAAGAGGCAACATTTACACGTGGCGCTGGCTTTCATTTTTTGTGTTCAGGACATTCCTGCAGATGGAAATAAGCTCCGTGTTAGGACCAGAGCAGTGTGGGCTCACAAAAGTTCGGCTCTAGATGAAGCAGAACGGTGTCAAGCGTCACAGTTGAATTTGACAACTCGGATTTGTAAATTCTCTTTCTTTAGCCGATGCTGAGGTACCCAAAGCAGGTGCGCTTGAATGTGCCACGTCGATCGCTTAAATGTGCCACGTTGATGCGTGGCTTGCCAAGGGCCAAAGAGGTTTTGGAGAAGGGTATGACAAGGTCAATTGCAAGATTCTGAAAACCACGGTTGCTCTAGTAATAAGGAAAAAAGCAGGACCATCGGGGGCTTGTTGCACGCATCTCGGTGCATCTTACGAGCCAACTCGTCGTACCCTCCTCTCACCCTCCTTCTGGTCTTCGAGACTGAGTGCGGATTCTACACTCCCAGTTCATCGCGTCTCTCGTCTTGTACTCCGTATGTCCACCGGTCTCTTAAATCTGGATCTCGCACTTGGACGATCTTCCGATGCTCTGCGTGGGTAAAACCTGGTTTTGGGGCTGATCATGGGGCTCGAACCCGTCCGTGCTTTTCTCCAGGATGGACCCCAGGAGGAGCTCCAACTAGCCGTCGACGTGAGTGTCCTAAAGCCTGCCTTCGCCCCTCCTTGAGTATTGCTGTCGTCACTGCCACCCTCTTCAGAAGAGACCTTGTCAGGCCAATGTAATCTATCTTCCTGTAAGTGCGCTTCCGGTATTGGCTTCCACCTCTAGGTTGGTCCCAGGAAACCCCATGCGGGTGTCTGGCGGTCGTCGATCTGTGGCTCGTGCACAATTTTGTGACTAAATTCTGTCAACCTGGTGAAGCAGAATGGCATTCACAGATCAGCCACGATCTAGTGATTCTTACAATTGGGCTTATAAGGTTTGCCACTGCCTGCGCAGCATGAGTTTGAAGACCGAGCCGTGCACACACTGCTGCAAGAGGAGCGGCGGTTTCAAGAGATGGTGGTAAGTCACATTCTGCCTTTGTTTGTTTTGGCGTTTTGCAGTCGCTGCGCTCTTACCCGGGCCGTCGCTATCTGCTCCCGTTGTTGAGCGTCTTTGGCGGCGCAAAACTTGGCCCTCTGGCTCTTTGTGCTGAGACCGAGGTTGCAAGGCTCGTTTCTAAGAAGGACGGTGGTTACTTGCATCCGGGGACAGAGACAGCGAGGGTTTGCCGATTTGAAAGCCTGTGCGCCCTTGCAGGATGAAGAGGAAGCGTTTGAAGATGTTCTCATGCGGCGGAAAGGTTCCAGGTAGTGTTGTCGATCTGCTTGTGTGGCTTTTAGCAAAGAAACACTCTTCACTGATTGGTGTGTTCTCTGCATGAGTTGCGAGAATGTCCGGTGTATGTACGTAAATCGGCGTTGCTTTGATGGGCTACCGAAGCCCAAGGTACATGAAGGTACATATGAGTAGTAAAGATGGATCACAAAGAGTCGAGAAGGATTACCAGGTGTGTGGCAGGTACATGGCGAGAATGTGCATTCAGCGTAATTGGTTACTATTAATGCAATCTACTGCCAGAAACTGCGCCGTCAATGCAAGATTTTCTGCGATGTCATGGTTCTGTAGCGTATGTTCGATCAATGATGGGCGTGCGTCGGCCGCCATCACTGCAGCAGGCTGCTGTGCACCGTACAGTATGTTGCACCTTATAGCCATCGCGATCAATCCTTTCGATGAGATCAGTATATTATCGAATGGTGCGCGCGCATATATAGCTGATGGATCGGGCTATCATCATGCATGCATGGCATGAATATGCATATTTGAATACGTACATAAAGACTATATAATGCTGGCACATGCATGTGCAGTGACTATATAATGCAAGCTGCATCGGGGCAGCTGGATTGCCGCACGGCAATTAAGATCGAAAGCATCACTTCAACTAAGCGCGCATAAGTGCATGCATTGCATGATTGTTGATTGCGGCCACGATATATACCCGCGATAGACTCATAGTAGGCTCAATTGTGATATGTACTTGCATGGTTCCGACGATCTGGCAGCATTCCAAATAGGGCTTGTTAAGCGTAGATCCTTAACATTGGCGCCCAACGAATCAATGAATTGCGGCCCCGATGCCAGCGTGACTCGGAAGTGAAAACCGACTTTCAAGAGACGGGATCTATCCGTACCTTTAACCATTTTGTACCTCGACCAGCTCATCACCCGTGGTCGGACACACCTCCTCTACCATTGTGAGCAAGTAATCAGACACCTTACTCATACACCTTCCGCTTACGTTGTGTACTCGGCATTGATCTTGACATAGTCGTAGGACAGATCGCAACCCCACGCTGTGCTTGCGCCTGGACCGTCTCCAATGCTGATTTGGATAATGACTGTGCCGTGCTCGTCCCCCGCTGCCTTAAGGTAACCGCTGGCGCCAGCCCTGCAAATTCCGAAAACAGCGGCAAGGTCAGCAACCAGTTGATCGGACAGGGTCAATCCACAGCCGTCGGAAAGCACCCAACAAAGTAAGGTCAGTTGAAGTCACTCAGGATCGGGGACCACTTGACTCGCCGCTTCCGCAGTGCTTGAAAAGCTGGTCAGTCAGGCAAAGCGTTGGAGTCATCCGGTCCGTATGACTCTTGCTGCAATCCGAGTCCAAGACGAAAGAAATTCAGGCCGTCCCCTTCAATGCACCACAAAGGTCTTGCATACCAGTCAGCTGAATATGCAAAAAGCTGCGGCAAGCAAGGGAACGATCCACGTATGCCGCGCGCTTGCCTGTCGAACTCGATGGGTTGTCCCTTGTCCATCAACTCGAAGTGCCCTAATCGGATGTTGAGCTGTTCAGGATTGAACGTTACGCCGGCGTAGCCCGCGGCGCAAGCGATGCGGCCCCAGTTCGGATCACGCCCATACACGGCAGCCTGGTTACAGGGAAAGGAAGGTCAGAAGGTCCAAAATATAGGCATGAGGCTTCCTTTTGATTCGTTTTTGGCTCTGCTCAAAAAGGCCGTTGGCATTCTGGAAACAAAGGCAGTAGCACCGACAGCACAGGTTTAACACCGGCGCGAAGTTCTCAAAAGACAACAGTTGCGTGAACCTTGAGAGGCTAAATGCATGGACGCAGAACGCGAAAACCTACCGAGCCTAATATAGGCAAGTCATCACAAACGTGGTTCTTGAGAATCCGGTCACTACAGACTTATCTCTACTCTCAAGTGAAGGCACATTGAACGAGGGCAATTTGACGGACGCGGAGCATTGGGACCAACGCAACACTCTTAAGACACGATATTCTTTGAACGCTGACCTTTGCTTTTTGGTTCGGCGATCAAATTTCACAAGCAGAAAGCTCCGCTTGATACTCAAACTACTGCCAGAAGCTGCTTAACCCCGGCCTGAACATCCAACGACCCCAAACCTACCTTGGTTAGCGAAGACCCAACAACGCTTTTAGCCACGGTGGCTGCTTCGGCTTCGGTGCGCGCTCCGGTCACTTGAACTTCGATCAGCACGGTGGCCCCTTCGCCATCCCACGCAATCGACTTCGCCAACGCTTGACACAGCTGCAAAATAAGGTTCACGTTCAACACCCGGCATCATGCGAGATCAACTTTCGAAAAGCCTCTCGGCGACCAAAAGCATGAAAGAGCCTGACAACAACGGCAGACTCCTAAGACTTATTCAGCGCAGCGCGGTCAAGCGCTCCGTTGATAAGAGACAGATGAACCTGCTCGGGACGCGATCTTGAGCCCAATTCAAATCAAAGTCCTAAACGGTGTTGCAAGGGTTTCCGGACCTTTTCGACCAACGTCTGAGGAGCTCGCGTTCCTTTCATCCTTTCGTTCGTCGCCAGTCTTTCTTCGAACTGCTTTCCTCGCACAGTTTCACTCAAAAGACCTCTTCAACGGTTGCGGCCCCATCTCGCAACTCACCGCTGTCAGTGCGCCCTGCAACTGTATTCCCTCTTCGCTCGACGCGTCCGTGATCGTCGGGCCCCCGGCCGCCCCGTTGGCAAGGGCAATCACCGTGTCGTTAGTGCTTGTATCTCCGTCCACCTAGATAGAGCAACCAGATGAGGGTCAAAGGTTGTTGGAGTAGAGGTATCTACTTGTAGAGAAAATGAAAAGGCCACAAACCGAACCATCGGAATCATTGGTTGTTTTTCCACCCTGGTTCCCTTCTGAACACGCACAACAATGACGAAAAATCCGCCCAATCATTCTTAAGTCCTGAGATTGCAGCGATCACTGCCCATTGGCAGAGGTTTGACCAAACAGAAGCTGGATGGAGGAGGACGGACCGGATATTCAACCTTAGAGCTCTGTTCATCAGGGAAGCCCGTTGAAGTGCACCTTCCGTTCCGGGTGAAACCTCAAGCCTCGGGGAAAGGAACTCTCAGCAAACAGCTGATTTAGATCCGCGTCGTTTTGCCACGCACCGTGATCTGGTTGAAGCTCGCTTTGACTGCTTTCAAGGTCATCTCCCGCCACACGGCCGGAGTCACTGCCGCATCCGTTGTCACAACCTGCACGACAGAAGATGAGCGCACTAAAAGATCAGTTCGCCGACTTATCGACCGCCTCAATCGACACGCCACAGTATCCAGAAACAACGGGTCCAAGAGTGGAGTATGCATAAGGTTACAGTTGATGAATGTAGGCAGATTTGGAGGGGATCTGCTGGGCAACATGGCACGATACCCGGACTCTGGCGATAATGAACGATCCTCGAATCAATCACCTTCGAAACTTGGTTACGGAGAGATAGCGAAGCTTCTGTCACCGAATACGGTGCCATTTTCAAGAGCACTGTCCAGAATTCAGGTTAAACAAGGGCAGAGAGCCGCTTCTGACGAGTGGATGGAGCAGCCATGAGACACAACGGAGAAAGGGCGACAGTGTGTGCCAGGCTTACTCCTAGCATGGTCGCCATGTTGGGGTGGATCATGCCCGAGCCCTTACACATTCCGCCCACGTGGATCGTCGTGTTGCCAACCTGGGGTTGAAAAGAGACTGCTCAGTGACTCACGAGAATCCCAAACAGGGGACCAGAGTTTCACGCTTGGTTCTTACTGAGATTAATAGAAGCAATAATCAAGTGCGCTCTCGGAACCCGCTCTCCGCGACGAACGGTTGTGCGCTTGAGTAAAGAGTTGAGAAAAGCGGGCAAGAGGTTCCTAAGCGTTCTGAAGGTTCACTTTCGAGTAGGACGGGAAGGACTCCGGAGCACAAATACCGTACTCTGAAATTGCTCCAAATGTATGTTGAACTTCTCTTCCTCTAAACCACATGAAAGCGCACGCTCGACAACAGAAACGGTGATGTCAGCAGACTAAGTCTCTCTCATATAATCTGGTTGAGATCACCCCTCTCTCTCCCGAGAGCTTCTCACCTTCGTCTCCAACGCAGCGCTTTTGCTGACCAAGTCTGTCGTGGTGATGGCGATGGCTGCTGCTTCCGCCCTGAAGGCGGATCGCCGCATCAGCACTTTTGAAAAAACAACCAACGCTATCAGAACTGTCTTGATGGCAGCTCGCATCGTTCTCACGAGCAATGACACATACAAGTTGCAAGCTGAGCAACGTCCGACGCACCACAGAGCAAGCAGCGCAGCGCAAGGAGTGGAATTGAAGAGTTTCCTGCAAGTCTACACTTCAAGAAACCTCCTGCCGACGACAGGACAGGGCAAAAACTTCAAGGCTGCTAACCGTTTTCGGGTTAGCTTTTGAAGAATATGTTCATAAGTATCATGCTTGCTGCTTGAACGCACGTGTGCGCATTTTCGAGCTGGAGTCCCCTTACAGCATCTTTTGAAGAGTCTCAGCAGGTAGCTACTTACGAAGCGGGAGATGTGTCTAGCCGTTCTACCAGCTTGGGGAGGGCAGCCACCAGAGCGTCCTGTCATGACAGAGAAAGACGGGCGGCTTCAAAATCGAGTCGGGTGATTGACGACGAGAACATTGTCAGAGATTTACTATACTTCGCAATTGTCCAGGGAAGAGTATGCACAATGATGCTACCTAAATACTGGCCAGAAGTCGTGAATGCAAGAGCAGAAACAAAGAAATCGAACATGAGACCGTGTGAGTCGCTGAGACGACTCAATCACAAGGATTGAGACTCTAAGGAAGTCGAGATGGAGAAGCAAGCGATTCCGAGGCCGGAGTCCGGAACAGGACATGAAACAAGAACCATGTCACAAACAAGATGGCAACTGAAGGCGGGGAGGCAAAAATACGGAGTGAGTGCAATCAGCCTCACCTTCTTGATTCTCCGCCCAATGACACCCGTCGACTCGAGTAGCACGGCTGAAGCTGGGATGCCCAAAATCTGCGGAGACACACAAGGTGAGCAAAGAGACTCCCAGCGGGCGATTCCCAATCAGCCACTACAGCTCACAACTAGGAGCTTATTCTTCTATCCATCGCTAATGCGAAGGTTTTGTTTCCAGGCTGGTTCCTGCGCAGTCAGAGAGAAACGATCAGCAAGTCTTTCTTCGTCGACGGAATATTGACTGAGAAGAGGCACAGGATGATTGTCGAAACGGATACGATCTCTCCGTGGCTCACCTTCGCCAGAGCCTCTGCCGATTCGTCTGCATCTTGCCGTCCGGCAACGCCCTGGTAAGAGCAGGCAATCGTCAGCCCGACCACCTGATTCCTTGGCTTAAGAAGCAAAATGTTGTACCCCACATCATGGACATAGAATACCTCGCCAAATCAATTCCTTCAACTGCAAGACTTTCCGAAGACGGATGGATCGGCCACAAAAAGGAGACGACAGACTTTGGTGTTGAAATCGAAAGGTCCACGTCAAATCGACGACGCAACACTAAGTCTGGTGAATCGATATCTTACCGTTGCTGCGTTAGCCTGGCCTGCGTTGATCAGCACGGCCCGAGCCTGCAGTCGAAGTTTAGCAGCACGTCACTACCGCGTGCTATATAACTAGCGCCTCTCCGTAATTTCGCAAATAGCGTTCTTTGTTTGGTGCATCGATTTTCAAGGTTTCGAGCATGCCTCAAATCGAGCAGCGCTTGCCCGAGGTGATGAAATAAGCTCACGTAGAGATCGATGCAAAGGGGGTCGTTGAGACCGGATATTTGCACACGCAAAAGTAATGCAAACATGATTGCAAGAACGCCTGCAACATGGTCGCACGAAGCTCACTGTGTCATTGGCAGCCAGCACCTCCCGGCAGTACTCGACCGGAGCCGCTGCAACGACGTTGAGGGTGAAAGAGCCTGCAGATGGACGTGCCCGATCAGTAAGCCCGCTCTGGCATCTCCTAACACGCTCTGCTTTCCCGTGGATCCATGGGTGAGTGTATCCAGTTTTGAGGGCGTCAGATTGTGACAAAGGCTGAAGCCCGGCCAATCAAAGGGGAACCACATCCGCAATTGCCTGACGTCAGCACGTTGCACAAGGATTTTGCTGGTCGACGAGTGGGGCCGCTTCGAGAATCGGGTGCGGACGTTGCTCTCAAGTGAAGTGCACAAAAGCAAGCCCTGGAATCGTCTAACGGGGGGATCCCAAGGCTGAGACCCAGGAATCAATATATTCATTCAGAGATGTTAAGTCTGATTCTTAACCTTTTGTAAGCACCTGCTACCTGTCAAAATAGGGCCAGCTACAAGTTGGAACGGCGCAACAATAGAAGGCTCCTGACGGAAAGCCCAGAGGTGGCCCCCCTGAGAAACGTCACAATCGACTCAGACTGTGGCGATGATCTCAGGGGAAATGGTGGTGTTCACAGCACTCAGAAGTTCCAGTCAACCGTACCAGCTTCATGGGAGAAACTTGGCGAATTCTGGACAAGTGCCTTACCTGCGGACACAGCGTCGGTGTCCGACACCACCAGAGCCAAGTCCCTCTTCTTGCCAGCCCGGACTGCGGCGTACATGCCGGCTGCACGGTAGCCCTTGGCTGCAGTCACACCACCGGGGATCTGCACAGAGATGGAGTACTCTGTCTGGTCGATGCATGGCCACCTTCGGAGCTCAGATACTGAACGCAGAGTGTTGTCAAAGTACAATAAGTGGCAAAAAAAAAGTCTTGCAGATAGAATCTGTATCCAGCTCAAGGAGCTACAATTGCTGACTCTCGGATGTTTTCAATAGTCACCCAAAAACAAGATTGCTTGGTCATGAACAATGTTAAGGAACATTCAGCTTCGACGAGCTCAGCAGAAGCTGATGAAGGTGAAAGCAGTTCAGTAGGGCTCATTCAAGGCACAGAGTTCCCTATTAAAAAGATGAGAAGCTGATTCCTCGTTGGTAGGTACCTGCTTCCATGGTCCTTCAGGGAGGAGGATTGGTGCCCTGGGGAACTCGCCTTCGGCCGCTGTCACCCCTGGTTCCTGAGCTCCCTCACAGCGTACCCCAGTAGACTGCAGGGATGAGTACAAAAAAGCTTCATTGAGTTTCCTCCTCCGCCACCTTTTTGGGTGTCACTTAAGCTCCTACAGAGGTTTGGTAGTGATGGGTCTCGTTGATTCCTTGTTCAGATTGGAAAAGAGAAGTCTGCCTATGTCAGCCCCAGCAAGGGAGGAAAGGTCTTCGACATGGCGCATCCTGATTCAGGCGGATTCAGCAGTTATGTGTGGAGTCCCCTGTGAGAACCGGAATGGGACAGCCTCTTCAGGAAAGAAACCAGCTCAGTGAGACCACAGGGGAAGGAACTCAATTACATTAGAGTCAAGATGATTGATGAACGCATACCAGTCGGCAGCTTGACAAGGACAATTCTTTGTCATGAAGCTCGGTACAAGCTCGCTCTTGACCTTACATCTTCTCTTCTAGCTCCATTCTGATTATTAGCTTTCAATTGAGCTGGAGTGTAAATGGAAGCCAAGGAGAGAGCATGTCAAGCAGCAGTAGGTCATAGAGCAGGGTGGTGTGAATCTAAGGTAGTAGCTAGCTGAATGATATTGACAGAAGGACGGTGCTTTGTTGCTTACCTTGCTTGCAATGTCCATCCCTCTACAGAGCTTCTGGCCCAATTGCTCATGCCACTGTCTGGTCTGACCACTGATTAATTGAGTGCTTGTCAATGCGCGCAGAGGGGAGGGCCAGACAATTGGGACTGCAAATGGAAAAATAATCTCAGAAGGCTCATAGAGGATTTCTGTCACAAAAGCTTGACAGATAGCATAGTCGGGACTGGTTTGCTTCATTGACCCTCTGAAATGGCTTGTTCCTGTCCCATTCTGCAATTGTGCCAGATTCAATGTGTAGACAGACAATTGTCAATCAATGCCTTTGCAAATGAGTGGTGGCAACACTGTGAAAGTGACGCAGTTTGTGAGGTGAGTTTGAAAAGCTTGAAGGTCAAGGCAACACAAATCATTGGTAAAGGCAATTGAGCTGGACCCCTTGACCACCTAGCCAAACGATGGAAAATACCAGACCCTAGAAACAAGAACTTTCACTAGTATCAGAACTGGGCACTGATCAGTTTGTGGATTGCGCACCTGCATTCACGCGTTCATGGGAGCTCTGTTTGCCGTTTGACCTCGTTGCTAAGAGCAGCTTTGAATGCGAAGAGACGCAAATAGCAGAGGTCGCCATGAAGGGAGATGCGCTCCCACTTCAGGGACAAGTGACAAAATCAACAACGTTCAACAAGTCCAATCAGATTGTGATCAGCATGTGAATTGTGATATCCTAAGTATGCATCCACTTGAGTTTGTACTTGCAAATCGAGCTGCACATGAATCCAGTGTTAATCCTAAAAATTCAGAATCATAGCAATATGCTTCATAAGCAAACAGATTTGCGATGCACTCCGCTTAGAAACGGGCTCTGAAGCCAAAACTGCGCCGAGCTGCGGGCCCGTGATTGTACTCAAACGCGCTGATTTCGAATGTCGACAATGGACTTCATCATTTATCACAAAACGAAGCGAATTTTGTTGGCCAATGGCAAAAGGATGAAAGAATATTGCCTGCAGATGCCTGCAGAAAGAGTTCAGGACAAGAGAGAATTAGGTAGAATTCAGAGAGGAAGGGCAATTCCTCCTGCAAACGAGCTGGAATTGCCCGCAAAGCTGATCAACACCCAAGCCAAAGTCTCATTTATCGCTCCGCCCTCGGGCAGTATCTCGTGTATTCCCTCCCCCTCGGGCAATAACTACTACATATCACACCACCACCTGCTGAGCTGTTCTTGGTCGAAAGTTGCGGCCATTCACCTTCCATGGCTACAGCCGAGCGCCCGACGTTGGCTCTCTTGGGAACAGGGATTTTTGCAAAGGATGCCTACCTGAAATTTCTAGGAGTGTTGTCGGGAAAGTTCAGCTTGTTATACGTTTGGAGCCGATCAGAGGTTTGTGTCGTCTTGATCTTTGAGCCTCAAATCCTCTAATCTGCTCTTGCTTCAGCCAAGCTACTTCGGATCTCCTTGGAAGTTTCAACAGCAAGTTTTTAATGGTGGTCAAACGAAAAGTTTTGTGGACACTCCCTTTGCACTGCTGCCAGTAAAATCAGAAAGTTATCAGCGTTAGTCTCTTTGCCCCATAATATGCTTTGATATCCCAGAAAGCTAACTGCACTGGCTGGATCTTTACGAGCTTATTTCCGAGAGAATGCCCTTTTGCCAACTCTCTAGAAATATTTCTCATCATCTGGTATCAACAGGTTTAGAAAGCAAGCTGCTTAGGCCAGAGTATTCGAACATACATGCCTGATTCAGCTCCTCGAAGCCCCTCACTTGTGGACCAAAGGAACAGTATCACGTAGCGGACGGGAGCTGACTGGTCTGGTGTCGCTTGTTGCTTCAGGCTGGCGCCGTACAGTTCACTGGCCTCGTGAAAGACTTCGCTCCAGGAGCTAAGGCCGTTTGGGGCGACCAAGGTTTGGACACTGTTTTTGACAGCCCTGTCCATGCGGTGGCGATTGTTCTGCCCGCTCAAATCCAGGTGAGAATCACTGTACATATTGCTTCTCTGGATCCTATAATCCACTGTTGAGTTGATGGGGCACAAGCTTGGGCTTCTTGCTCATTGTCAACACGGTAGGAAGGACAGATGCAACCGACTCTCCCTGCTCCCATTTTTGCAAGGTTGGGGCTTCTACTTGATTGTGCGTCGACAGTTCTGTGCCAAACAACAACTTAACCCAGAAGAAGGCTGCTGAAATTGACAAGCAGACAGCAGATGCATCAGCGATTGAGACAGATACAATTGCGGTTTGCTTTTGACCGAAGCAGGAGTGGCGATGACCGATGGCCGAATTCATATACGCCTGAAGCAAGAGAAGGTAAGAATGGAAAAGTGGGTCGAGTGAGCTTGGATATGGGTGTTGACATTTGACTTGACTGCTCCTTGCAGCCGGCGCTTGTGGCACGAGCGCTTCAAGCGAGAAAGCATGTAATCCAAGGTGCGGACTTGTCAGAGAATCGGAGAAAGTCATCCACAAAATAGACGAATATATTGATTCTGATCAAAGAGTCACCCTCAGAATCATCCTGGAAGTGAAATCGAGGAATTCGCTACATCGTGGAACTCGTTCCATCACCTGCCTAAGTAGACTTCTTCAAAATGCACCAATGGGAAATGCTCCATGGAAGAATCCTAAATTGTTGAGACTGGCAACCCCTGCTTTTGAAGCCGTTTGACACCGCTGTCTTCTTGTTGACTTCCGGACGACGCTAGCTTTGTTCGTTGTTAACTCTCGCTTCATTTTAACAGCGCCCTGACATGCGCTCCTCTTCTTTGCAGAGAAGCCTGTGGGCGTCAGTGAGTCCTCTTCAGCTCGAATTTTTTTTCTGTTGCTTGAAAGACCTATCTTTTCTGGCCTTCCTTGACCTTTTGTAAAGATAGGTTGACTACAAGGGGAAAAGCTCCCAACTCTCACTCTCAGAATGCTCCGTCCCGATCAAAACAGGGTACAGTCGTTGTTCACTGCTGGCTCGATATCCTTCTTCCTTCGTTGAAAAATCATTGCTCTCTACCCAAGCGTTCTGTAGCACACGGCCGTTGATCCAGCCATGGTTGGATATTACTCGGACCTCATTTTTCAGTGACACCCCTCTGTCGCCTCTGTCGACCTTGGAAAGAGAGGTGCTTCTCGGGCCAGTACCTTTCAAGATCGTTTCGATGCTCCTTTCCGTGGTACTTTACTTCCGTCATCGTAAGGCTTTTTGTAGGCATCGGCGCTTTCTAAATACGAGAGGCTCGCGTCCTTGACATGCTTTCCAAGTTAGGAATTGCTTTCCATTCAATTTAATTTAATTCGCGAAACCTATCTTTTCATTGACGAGCATGCTTTCCACGTTCGACGAAGTAATGATTCGAAGTGGATTCAAGAGTTCACTGTCGCTTACCGATCCTGAGCAATTGTTTCGTCGCTCGACCACTGGGAAACTTCGTTTGGAACCATCAGACATTGCAATGCTGTAAATCGAAGCCGAAACTCTGCCTGCCTTTCTTCCACTCCGTCCAACGCCGTTGAAGCAACCTGCTTTTCTTTTTATCTCCAGACGCCGCTCACGTGTTGGAGACGCTCAAGGTCTACAAAGATCTGGCGGCCAAGCTAGGCCCCACGACACCTATCTGGGCTGTGGCCGAGAACTACCGGTTTGAACCGGCGTTGCTCGAGGTACGAAGTTGTCAACCAAACCACCTCAAGCCCACCACATGTCCTTGCTTTTGCCAGTTCTCTTTCCGCTTGTTGTGTCCTCGATTCTCTCTTCCGTTCAGCGGAAGAGGCGAACGCTAAGTGTGCAGGCTGCTCGCTACTTCAAACTCAACCTTTTCGGGTCCATCATTTCCTAGCGTACGATATGCTGGCACACAACCAGACGCGTATTTGCATATTTCTGCAGAGACGAGTTCTTACCTGTGCTTTCTTGCCCTCCCTTGCCTTCTTGAGCTCGCTTCTCTCCAATGGGGAAGCATCTTGCCGTCTGTTCCTGCAATCCACACATCCCACGTGTTGTCTAACTTGGAAGACGGCTCAAGCCATGCGCCTAGTTGTCGTGGTCCTGTTTGATTTCAGATACGACAGAAGCAATCCCTCACTCCTGCATTTCTATCGATTGACGTTTCACCTTTGCCGAGGTCCTCTATTATCCTCAAGATGCTCTCACAAGCTTGCCTCTGCTCTGGCAAGCCGTGCCTGTCCAGGATTCACTACCTGTTTCTACAATAGAGTCTGGCTCATATAGCACGAGTGATTGCATTTCCAGAGCTTTGCAGTGTCAGAGCTAGTTGGTGATAGAGGTTTTTACGTTCACAGGCTGCCCAGTTGGTCCAGCAAGCCGGCGACATGATGGCCGTCCAGATGACGATCGAGACCCCTATGGCCAAAACCAACGGATACTTCCCACGACCTGACAAATGGCGGGGCGATCCCGCTTTTACAGTAAGGTTCTCTCTTCAGCTGTTGGATCCGATGGCAGGAGAACTCGGACTGCACTTTGCATTCCCAGAACCCCGCACCGCTTGGTACACAACGTGCTTGCGACCGGTTCGTACTACGTCAAGGACTCGATGGCGGTCAGGCCCATCCCTCCATCTTTGCAACTTTCGAGGGCCGATATACAGGCTGAAAGCCGCTATAGTAGGTCGCCAGCAATCCGCCATGTCAAACCTCGCCCGCAGTGACCGTACCAGACCCTTTTCCTCGCGCACGGACTCCCTCAGAGTGTGCCAAGCGGTGTGGGGGTCCTGGACTGATAAACTTCAGTTTGCGTCCAATTTCTCCGTTCTGTCAGACTTTTGAAAGTGTCTTTATGCCCGTCCATTCAGACAGCGCAAAGCGGACCCTCGCAAGGATGCGGCCCGTGATCGAAGAGGTCCATTGGCGCGACAGGACGTCCTCTGTCTTTCTTGAATGACTCTCTTGCACGAATCAGTCCTCACCAGCACTCCCCGGAAGTTTAAATAACATGGGGTCCTTCTTCAGTACTCCGGAGCAGATTTACCAAGCAGCATAAAGACTGACACCTTTCGCATGTCGTCCTGTCTACACAGGGAACGTTCTTTACTGACGGGGCTGTCCACTTCGTTGCCGGCTTACGACTGGTAAGCTTCTGCCGTCGAAATCGTTTACACTCTCTGTCATAACCCTTCTGTATCTACTAAGCGCACCATACTCGAACCAGTACCACTTTGTCAGAAGTGAGGAAACTCGTTGGGACACTTCCTGCATGTGGTCCAGATCGTTGCTACCCCTAACGCCGTTGAGACGCCATGCAAAGTGTCGTTTGCTGCAAGCGACCCTGTTAGACTTTTCTGTTACTCGATACATTACTCGATACTGATTGCAGCACCTTGATCGCCCGGAGTCTCGGACAAGCTTTCTGCTTAAGGTGGTTTCTTTGCACAAGCCCAGAATGGACTAAAATCGGATGGTGTATCGAAGTGGAAACGAAACTATCAATGAAACATAACAGACGATGACAGTAATTTTTAGCAGGTAACAGTGGCTCTCGAGAACCGAAGGTCTGCCGAACACCAACCCTCTTTACTGCCACTCGGGGTCAGAAGTACGAAGTCAAATGCTGGTAAGGTAGTGGACGGCGACGATCCGTTCCGTTCTTTACAGCGGTGTCCAGAGAAAGCCATGCGCTTGCGTCAAAACGATACAGAGACTACGCTGGTAACGCTCTTACAATTTGTGCAGATCAGCGGTCAGGAAGTAACGTCCGTTTCCGCGCTCGCCTCCAACGTTGACAAGGACTTCCCTTGGCCCGACACGCTATGTGGTGTTGCGTGAGTAGCTTCAGCTTTCCTACTCGTTCTACTATTTATGGACTACTTCAGCCTCCCTCCGAGCAGCTCCCCATGACTCACGTACAATCACCATTTGGCAGTGGCTTCTTGACTTTATCGGCAGTCTTACAAGTAACATCCCACGGACAGGTAAAGAGGGCTCGACTTACGCTCTTCTTGCATGCCAGAACGAGGGTAATCATGGCCAAGCGCATTTCGTGTGTGCAGAAAACTATACAACGGCGCCCCTTGCAGCATCCTAATTTCTTATGGTGCCCGCGCAAGAAACGTGAGTATCTCGAAGCCGTCTCGAAGTCCAACCCTTTTTCTTTCAACTCGATGATAGATTGGCTTCTGCTAAAGTTGAATATGTATTTTGGCAGGCCGAAACATCGAGTAAGGTCACGAAAAAGTTTCTCAACAGTATAACGAGGTTGCGTTTTTGTGTCAACGGGGGGTTTCTCGTCTACGAAACGATTCTCAAGGAAGTGCGGCTGTCGTGCCCACCTCCCTGTTCCCTCCTGTCAGTGATGCCGCTTGGCGGTTTTAACTTCTTCATATCGGCTCACAGATATGCACCTCTCGTCAGATTTAGTCGACTTTCAGCATCGCCAGCGGAACTCCATGATTACGTTGCTCGCGCCCGGGTAATTAGAAACCTAAGTTTGCCGATCACTCTGTTTCATGTTCCGTTTTTTGATGATTCCACTGGCCAGAAATCGCGTTCGCGGTGTGTTCCGAGCTCAACGTGCGTTCGACTCTGAAGCCGTCCCAGAAGGTGTCTGACCGTCGTCACCGTGTCTTCAAGCAGTATTCAATCGAACCTACTTTGATCCGATCCCTGCAGATAAGGTGGCGTGTCATTGCCAGCAACGGAACAGTAGAAGTGGAGCGAGGGTCGCTGGACGGAAAGCACGGATACACGGTAAGCGATCATGGTCTGCTAATCGTTCGGCTCTCCTTTTGCTTGTTCTGTCTCATTTTCGCGTGTTTCCTGCCTGGCAATGCGGACGGCGGTTTGAGGCCTTTCGGTACCGTCGACGTTTTGTACCGAAGAGGATTCCCGCGTTAGTGTTAGGTTGCTCATGCGATTCTTTGGGTGGAATAACACTCTACTACTAAATAAATTCCTTATTTCCGACGGTGCTCTCGTTACCAACGAGTTCCACTCGCTTTTCGCAGGGAAGCCTCTCTGCTTGCTGCTTGTGTAGCAAATTCGCAAGGCTCTGCTCACATCTCTACGCTCGTTGTTAGGTTTCTGTGATGACTTTAGGACACAGAATTCTATCAGGCCCATCGCCAAAGGTCGCAAGCACAGGTGCGACGGACACTCTATCATGTTGCAGTATGCTGAAAGGAAGTAACACTCTCTGCAGACGCGGCTCTTCACTCCTGACGGCGTGAAGACCGAGAAGTTCCACCCGTTCTCCGGGGTACAAGACGAGCTGGACGCCTTCATTGCAGACGTCCAGACAGCCATTACCAAAGTAAGATTGAAAGAGTTGTTTGCATGTTCTTTTTGCGTGGAGTACTTCTGTTAGCCGAGCCTCGTTCGGATTGCTTGCTTTGATGTTTCTCCATGTGACGCCCGCAAGTATAGTGACGAGGACTGAGGTCCGGGCGATCTGGCGCTTGGAAAGGCGTCACAAGGGTCGTGTTGATCAACGGTACCTTTCTGCCGTCCGGCCGAAATAACCCGGCCCAAATTTTCGAGTCCCATTTTTACCCGATCAGTTACGACCGACCGGCGACTCGGAACTTTCCATAAAGTCAGCGATCCCTTTTCTCGCAACCACGTGGCATCCCGCTCTTGTAAGTCGTCCGAACCAAACGAAGCCAGATTTTACAAGACTTGGCAGCCACCCTTGTTGATCCAACTCCATGTCACCCGAGACCAAGATAGGAACTATCGGAATCTGCTTCCCTTTCCGACGGATCCGGACTCTTGCAGGAGTTGAGAAGTATTTCTTGCTTGCGCGAGATCTACTTGTCGCAGCTGCCTTTGGCCGAGACGGACATCTCCGTGGTGTTTTGTTGGCAGGGCTCTGTTTCTCAGCATCCTCGAGGCTCGGCTGTCGAAGGCCTGAAAGACCTGGCCGTCGTGGAAGCCGCTTTGAAGTCAAGCATCAACAACGGGACTTGGCAAAAGGTTGACTCAATAGACCAAATACTTTACTGCTAACTTATCCTTGTTGTGACGATAGCCGTTGTTGCTGTTCATTCGCCGCAGTTTTCCAATCTATAAAAGTTCGAGAGCTCCTGAACTGTCCAAGAGTAAAGTCCTGAGGACGTTTCCTCGAGTAACTTTGTTTTGAGCTGCATAAGTTCTCCCAACGAATTCCAGGCACGAATGCGGTAGTGTACTGTTTATGTTGTGTCAAACCTAGTGTGCAGTTTGAAGGTCTCGCCTCTGCCGGCCATCTCACGACTCCAAAGCTTAACGAGTATGCCGTGGGTTCAAGTGATCGGGCTCCAAGCCAGCATGTATATCACTGTGCGTGAATTTCACGATTCCGCACTTCCGAGTCATGACCATGTGCTGCTCTGTCCCTTGGTTGGCCCTGTATATATATAACTCTGGATCCGCGTTGTCAATCGATTGCCGCGCAATTCAAACCGATCCGGATCCGACCCGCAGGCATGGCATTCTGCATATAGGCGTCCATCTTTGAATGCTTCTAATTGTCCGACCTGGTTCTAGCAATGTACGTATACGCATGCCAGGACACTAGCAATTCTTGGACTTCAACCGATGCGTCGCATTGAAATCGTGAGACTGCTCTTTGAACTTGCTCGTATACACGATTTGGCTCGATTATAGACCGTACCGATCCGACCGGCCAGTGCATGTCGATTGAACATATATATCGATTCGACGGTCGACATGTCCGAACTCAGGTATACTAGCTTGCGAAGCTAGTACGGCGTATTACGGCATGTGATGGGCAGCACAGTACGTTAACTCGAACTTAGGTGGACGGCATGCTGGTAATCGTGCACTCTGGCACACCACGACTGTGCGCATACTGAGCGCGTTGCAGATCCTTAGTAGACAAATGGATGTGCAATGTGTACACAGCTCAATTGAGGCGTATTCGGACGTACGATGCAGCCAAACGATAGGGGACGGTCTTCAATGTTTGGATCTAGCAGCAATTCACCGACTAGACTGTTCCCAGATTGTCGGCACTGTTTAGGGGAGATTTCAAGCGAGCAGAAGCAAATATACAGGTCCAAACTTCTACGGACTTCTACCAATGCGGTTGCGACCAGAACGTTCAACCTTCAGCCATCGGCCGGTGTGCAGTTACTAGCCCTTCTGAGCCTTCCTGTGTTTGTTATATGAGCATTGGTTCGAAAGCTTCCAGCAACACCTATTACATGCGTTATTAGAGCAAGCTTTGGCCGGCCGGTTTCTGCAAACCTCCCCATCTGTTGCTACCCCGCAAAAGTCGACATCAGAGCTTCCCACGGGTTTGACGGTAACCTTGGTTTGACTTACCGAGTGGGTGTGTGCATCTTGCTCGTGGCTTGGCGTTCAAGGGCTACCTTCTCGGCCCTATCTCTAGCTTCGAGTTCAAGCCTTTTCGCCCTCTCTTTGGCCTCAAGCTCGAGTTGTTTCCGCATGGCCACTTCCTTGTCCCAAGCAAGCTTTTGTTGCAGGAGCACCTCATCCAACGTGATGGTATCCGGATCCTGCAAAAGTAGTCCGGGTACGATTTGTAAACGAACGTTCCGCTGGGGACTACTTTCCGGCTTTTGATGCGGGTGCCTTTGCCAGCCGCCTTTGTCATCTCCGAGACAAGTTCTTCAGATCGAAGATCGAACTACTGGTTTCTGAAAGGAAAATCCAGAAAGGAGCGAGGATGCAGCCAACAAACACGCAATGAAACAGGATAATAGCCTGCAGAAGAGAACCTTGACACGACGCTGCAGATCTCCCCATTATCACGATGACAGAGAAGTTCGATACAAGTAGCTAACAACGATTTTGAAAGATGTAAGAGTACCTACCAACAGATTAATATGCGTGCATAACGGCAAAGCCGCCTTACCTGCACGTATTTGTCAATCGACTCCTGGTGCGGAACGCTCCTTTGCTCAAAGCCCGCTTCTTGTAGCGCCCTGAGGACTTCCCTTTTCCTCCTCCTCAACAGCTGCTCCCGAACTTGCGCCTCGACCACCTCAGAAAGCAACCCCATGCAATGTATGAGGTCCGGTTCCCCTCTCAAAACGTGCACACCGTTTGCGACGTCGGGCGGAAGGCCTGCCCCATGGAGCGTCTCCTTGCTCAAGGACGTATTTTCCAAATTGAAACGCCATGGATACTCGTCAGCAATTCTGACGTGAGGACCTCCTTCGGACACAAACGATGGCCACTCCTCTTCCAACTCTGCCAGCCTGTCTGCGACTTGGATCATTTGATCTAGCTCTAGCTCATCGACCAAGCTTTGCCCTTCTTTGTAGCTCAAATTCGCCTCCTCAACTACATGCTCGGTAAGGAAAGCAACAGCGTTTGATGATTTCAACCGCAACATCTCCCCAGAATCTTCAACCTGGGTGCCGGACTGCCGGGCAGGATACCCTGCCACTCCCAACACAATGTGACCACCAAGACATACAAACCCGGAGACCAAGACGCGCTCTGGCTGCTCCTCAGACTTTGGCTCCGATTCTGCCCCCGAGTCCGAGACAGAGTTGCACGCGTTCCATCTTGACTCTGCTCTACAATCAGGGTGTATGTCTTCAACACAATCGAGATACAACGTTTCATAACACGTGTACGCTTGGGGTACGTCCTCAGCTTTCAAAGGAAAGACTAGCTCTTTGCAGTAAGGACACACAGCGCCTCCCCATCACCGGCCGGTGTCGAGTGGGTTTGCTGTTCTTGCAAAAGCGCGGCAGCCCCACAAGCGCGAGAAGAAAGTAAGTTTGGAGTCCAGCACGGACAATCTGAGCAACCATCGGAAGGAATGTGCGAAACAGGGGCAGCTCAAAGTGACTCGCTTCAACACCTGTTCTTCTAGCCTCCAGCCCTCAGTCTCTACTCAGGAACAGCGTTAGTAAGTGTAGCCCTTGCCTGTTTGCATACTGCTCCCAATGGAACAATGTCCTTTGGATGAGGCCCCAGCTTGGCAAATATCTGCTGCAGGAGTTCAGGGGCAAGAGCAGGCAGTGCCACACGCGCATCTGCAATGCTGCAAGTATCGGCTGCAGCCCCTTCCTCCCTCCCCAAGGAAGATTCCAAGGTATCCTGGACTTGGCATTGCGTTCTAATCGAGCTCACAGCGTCCAAGTACTCCTGGCCCGTGGGGCGCTCATCTCTGTTCAGCGGTGCACGGACTTCAAGGGGCGGCAACCTCCTACGAGAGGAGCGCGCCGGCCAGCCCCCGGAGCCCTTCCTGGCTGTTTGCTTGGCCCTCACCATCCTTCGTGCAGTGGCTAGAGGGCGCCTGGGTGACTTTCTGATTACACCTCTGCTGAATGCAGCAGGAATGGTGCATTCATGCAGCCTTAGCCCCAGCTGCTGAGAACACAATGTAAAAAGTGCACTTGAAAGAAGTCGAGCTTACCATCGGACAGCTATAGCATGATGCTCTCGGATAACCGTGAATCCTACTCCGGATTTTGCCAACTCCGGATTTTCGGCTGACATTCATCGATGAGGACTCCAAGCCCCGGTCACTCCCCGC